ATAAAGTTTAAGTTTCAATAAAGTTACAACACAACATTATTAGGCTGTCCTGCCAAATGGTGCATGATTTGGATTTCCCTTGGAACATCATCGGTATCCTCCTTGTTCGCTAGCTTCGTTTTCGCTACGGTTTTGTATGGAGTTAATTTAATCAACGGCGACTGAATTTTGCAATGGTTACTACTTGCTCATCAATCTTTAAAAAGTTACTCGCTGCTCACTGAATTTTGCTATATATTACTGCTTACTGAAATTTAAAAATTTACTCGTTACTCACTTAAATTCGAACAAAATTACTCATTGCTCGCTAAACTTTGTTATAATTAACAATTATGGAAATGATACGGGTGATTAAAGAGTACTTTTATTCAAATTTGGGTGAGTTACAAGTGACCTTTTAAATTTCGATGAGCAAGTAGTAACATATAGCAAAGTTCGATGAGCGAAAAGTAACATTTTGAATTTCGATGAGTAAGTGGTGACCTATAACAAAATTCAGTGCTCATTGATTAAATTAATCCGTTTTGCATGCAAATTGCTCTCCCTTTTTCTGTTTGTACACAAATGCGTCACCCCGAATTGTCCTCTCCCGAGCTCTTTTCCGATGGTGTAAGTCGAGCAGACATCCTCCATTGGCTGCCCTAAAACCGGCCCAATCGGTGTTGGTTTCAAAGGCTTTGTGGAGTGATTAGGAGAGGCAGAAGGTGGAGTGGTATTAGTTGGGGCTATGGCGTTACCCATTGAAGCATTTTCATGGTGTTTCGACTTGGATTCGGCTTTTCCCACCTCATTATCGCCTGTTGGAGAGTCATCTGCGGCGCCCTGGGGGCAGCAATTCCCCATAGAACAAGGAAAGAACAAGAAGTGTCAAAGGAGAAGAATGAGAGGTTGCCCCGCCCGGAGGAAGAGCAAAGAATTTTTTTTTGGGGGGTTGAAAAGAAGCAGGGCGGGGGAAGGGGGGAGGGAGAGGTACTGTGGGATTCATTGCATTGGACTGATGGTGAGAGATTGTAGGAAAGATTTTTGTAGAGTTTTTTTTTTTCCAGGAAACAATTTTAAGACAAGGGTTTGAGGTTTCCCAGGGAATATAAATACATTTTTGGTTGGTTGGAAGTCTATGAAAATGGTTAGTTTCCTTGTAACTGTAAGAATGACATATTCCCAACTTAAGCTAAAATTTTATCAACTTTTCAACCGATCAAACTTCAATTCTAACCATATATCATTGAACCCACAAATTTTATTAACTTCTCGACTACAAATCTTATCAAGATCTGCTAAAACTTTATCAAAAGCTTTGTCAATTAAACAACCCTAAACTGTATATAAATTCTTCCCAGACTTAGGCTAAGCTAAAAGCTAAAAAGAAGCTTTAGTCTCCAATCAAATGATTCAAATCTTGGAAGTGATTCATCGAGTTCATTCAATCAACATTACATATTCCACAAAATAATGGGATAATGCTTTTCAGCAAAGAACATAAGAAAATGAAAAG